TGACTTCTTCCCTTTAACAGCTGCTTAACATGTGCTATACTCTGCATGTGCTTTACCTACTTTATTTTACTTAATACATATTCCAGATACACCATTAGAAGTTACTGAGATTTTTAATATATAAGAAATCTGAAGCTTAAGGAAATAAATCCATCCGTGCTGTTCTGGGTGTGTCCAGAGCAAGTGACAGGGGCAGGATGGTCTTCCTACTCCTAATCCAGTCATCTTTTGTTACACCATGTTGCCTCTTTACTGTGACCCCAGTTAAGGAGATTCTAGAACTTTTTTGGTGGTGATCTTGATAATATAAAAAATGGAGCAAGAGGATGGCCATGTGCCAGGTCCTGGTGAGTCCCTGGGACACATCCCATCAAGTGGGGGTCCTTGACTTTGCACAGGAAAGAATTCGAGAGTGAGCCACAGTTGAGTAAAAGGAGATTTATTCAGAGAGATGCACACCCCGTAGACTGGGTATAGGCCGTCTTGGAAGGCCAAAGAGGCCATGAGGCATGGAGGTGGTTAAAACAAAAGTAGATACACACTCCATAGACAGAGTGTGGGCCATCTGAACAGGCAAAAGAGAAGGCCACAACGTGTGGGAGTGTTAGTTTTAAGAGCTCGGTCATTTCTTATGCTAACAGGTGGGAGGATTATTCCAACTACTTTGGGGAAGGGGCTGGGATTCCCAGGAACTGAGCCACCACCCACTTTTTGACCTTTCATGGTCAGCCTCAGAACTGTCATGGCACCTGTGGGAGTGCCATTCACCATGTTAATATATTACCATGTGCGTATAATGAAGCTGAAGATCTACTGGGAGCCAAATCTCCTGCCATCTTGGCCTCAGGGTCTACTTTGAGTTGAATCTTCCACCATCTTTATGCTAATTGCTGTGTCATTCCTTTAATGGCTGTGCCCTGCCCCCTTCCCTCCTGTCTCAAAACTTTAAAAAAGAAAACTTCATATAAATATCAGTAACAGATAATGGACGTGGCCCAGACAGTCACAGAAGAGCATCGTGACTTATGGGTGGCTGTGTGCCTTCGTGTGAACGTGCCAGTAAATGTTTGCCAAAGCAGACATCTGTCTGCATGTGCTGTAGTGCTTTCAACCTCATTTCTGTTCTTGTTTCTAACAGACAAAAATTGGATCAGGAAAGTTGATGGGGCCCAAAGGAGTTTCCGTGGATCGCAACGGACACATCATCGTGGTGGATAACAAGGCGTGCTGCGTGTTTATCTTCCAGCCAAACGGGAAAATAGTCACCAGGTTTGGTAGCCGAGGAAATGGGGACAGGCAGTTTGCAGGTACACTCGATGGTAATATGTAAACCCCCTTCTTTATGCTTCTTCTGCTCACGTTTGCATGGTGTCGGAGCATGTTGAAGGCGCCTCGTCCCCCGTGTGTTTGCCGGCTTTGGCCAAGACACTAGGGATGAAATCTAAGCAAAAGCATGGTTAGATGCTTCTCAATTACTCCACCCGCAGTAAGTTCAACCGCAGGCCATGTGTGGTTTTAATTGGTGGCGGCTTACAACGCCGAAGTCTCACCTTCGAATATGAGCATTAAATAAAATACAAATGTTAAAAGAGAGTATTTTTTAAATAAAGATGTGTGAGGAACAATGGAGAAATGCCTGTGTCCACCTAGCCGTAGCTTTGTTTAAAGAGCTTCTGAATGAGAAATTTTTTCACCTTTCTAGGTGATTTTAAGAGAGCAGGAATATTTAGAATATTTGCCGAGTGCAGGAAGGGCCGCCTGGGCCACCTCTTTGCCTTGTTTGGGGTACTGCTGTACAGTCACAAGCTTACTTTGTTTTCTACATCAGCAAGAAGAGGCTGAAAACAGTTTATTCATTTTATTTTGGAAAGGAGGCTTTGGCATTTAACATTAATTTGCATCATCTTTCTTTATGCTTTGTCTCCAGTTCTGCCAGGTTCTGAATGTCACCTAAAATTATAAAGTGTGGGTATCTGCTCTACTTTAAAAATACACTAGATATTGGAGTTTTTTTTCCCCCCAGTGCTGAGAGTTACCACATCTCTCCTCAGCGGGAGCTGAGGGCCCTAAAGTGACCATCAAGGAAACTGGCAGATGTGACTTTCAGCTGGTGATGCAGAGAATGAATTCTGATGCTTATTGCTCATTGCATTCATTAGGGCTGCTGGAACTCTTAGCTTGATCTGGGAGAAGGCAGCGTAGACAGTCACAAGTGTAGGATGCTACAGAATCTGCAGTGCCTGGAGCCAGAGGTCTGGCTGAGTGACCTTTCAAGGACTGAGTCTACGATCCTTTGTTCTTTCTTAAACAACTAAGTTACTATATTAAGTTTTGTAACTGCTGTGCTGTTGTCATCATTTTTGTTGTTGCATTTATCACATACTTTTTTCTATCTTTATTGCAGGTCCCCATTTTGCAGCTGTAAATAGCAATAATGAGATTATTGTTACCGATTTCCATAATCATTCTGTCAAGGTACCATGGACACATCAATTGTTGTTAACTGTTAACTGCTTGTATTGAGGAGTCCTTCTGGGAGAAAATAATAGAATACTCATGTACACACACAGGACTGAAGGGAGTCAACCTAAAGGAGTAGAGTTTTGCTTCTCCTTAAAGGTGCAGGGTTTAATTGGGATGTTGCAGACTTTGGAGGGTCAGAAAAGTGACCAGAATATGGTGGCAACAAGTTTCTTAATTTAAAACTGGTATAAATGGAGACGACTTGAAAATTAAATTTGAAAAAGCAATTGCTTGAACTTAGAGAGGCAGAACTTTCTGAAGCTTGATGTTTTGTGGCTATTCAGCAAATAACAGATCACGTTTTTCAATTTTCTGTATCATAAGGCCTTTCAAACAAAATTGGGTACTAGACATCTGCCACAGCAACAGCTTTGGGGAGGGAAACAGCCCTGGCATATGTTCATATAGTGTGTTTCATATGCCTTTGAATGCTTTCACACACTTCCGGTTCCTTACAAAGCATCACCCACCCCTTCCCCTAGACAGCGTAGTACCAGGCAGAAGGGGAGGAGACATTTGACCATTATTGTGAGCAGATCAGAACATAATAAAGTGGTTCAAAACAAATGTCTCACTTACTGAAACAAGAAGTTGTTCAGTAACATTCTAGACCAAGCTTCTCAAAGTGTGACACACGTTCCACCGCAGGTGTACCAGGCGGTCCCGGGCAGTGCACGGGGAGATATCTCTTATTTCGAGAGCTATGTGTTTATTTTTAGGGTTACCTTCTGTTCATATCAAGCGATACCGGTTTACACTTGTAGAAGTGATATAAAGTTTGCCTTGTAAGTAAGTTCATTTAAATTTTTTAAGGTGAGGCATTTTACATGTGAAGGAGGATAAGAAAGCAGCATGGGTGGTGTGCCAATGACCAAGAGTTTGCA